TTGGAGGGGACAAATAAATATCCAAACCATGTCAGCCACTTTCCCTACAGCAGCTACTTCCTTCTCATCCTTTAGAGCTCAGCCTCATCATCACGTTCCCAAGTGGCTGCCTTCTCTAAAGTCATGTTACTGTTTTTCTCAAACCCCTATTCGTTTTTTCTGCATGCTTTTTAAAGTGTGTAACCGTTTCTTCATCTGTTTGCCTTTGACCTTTGCCTCCTACTTAACTGTAAACTCCAAGAGGCCAGGAATCACAGGTTGTGTCTTGTTCATCTGTGTAACCCAGACACAATGTAAGGGACCTAGGAGGTCTTTAATAAAAATGTGATGAATGGAGCAGTTAATTCTTGGTTTTCTTATGGAATGCAAGGAAACTGTGCCCCAGAGGATGTGTGTAAATGTAAGGAGTGGGAGCAGAGGAGTCAGCCTAATATGCTGATTATAAAGCCTTTTAGGTCACTCCTTACCAGCTGCAGATTCCGTGTCTTACTTCCTGTGATAGTCTGAAGGTTCACATCAGATGAAGACTGAAGCCTTGATGCCTAATGTCATGAGCAGAGGTGGAATTGGAATTACTATCTCCTGATTCCCAAACTAGAGCTCACCTCTCTTTGTCATATTTTCAGAGGCTGGAACTGGGGAGTGGGGAAGGAATGAGGAAACTGGAGAGAAGGAGCATGAGCTTTTAACACATGCAGACATGGAAGAGCATCTGGCTTTATAACTGCCTGGTTCAGTTCTTAAGCACATAGCCAAGTCTCTCAGGCCTCAGTTTTCTCATCACTAAAATGGGGATCATAATGACTATTGTATAGGAATCTTGCAAGGAATGAAGGAAACGATATACCTAAAGTGCCTATTTCATCCTTGCTGTTTAGTGAAAACCCAGTTGGTTCCTTTTGTTCCCTGTAGTGGCAGTAGCCACTGCGGGCTGGGAAAGATAAGCCTTCCCCTCATATTTCATGAATGTCCAATCATGGCACTGATTGTTGCCCAATTTAATTAATGCCCTAGCTGTGGGTTGACATTCTCAGGCTTTAACTGCCTAAGAAAAGTGCTGGTACCACAATGCTGTGCTAACACATCAAGCTTCTCCTCTTGAATGTCTAATGAATTCATTCCTCTAGTCACTCTGAGAAGAGTAAGAAAATTAAAGCATAGATTGGATTAAAAACGATGACAGTTATAAGGCATAAAATCAATAATCCCCCACTTTCCCAAAAAACTGGAACCTTTTTCATGTCGAAAATATAGTGAGACATCTTCTGACATGCTTATCTGGTGATGCTATTCTCCTAAGAACAATCTTTTCTAATTACAGGTATTTAGCTTCTCATTAAAACTTGGTTACACTGATTTTAGGATTCCAGGCATTAAAATGTTGCACTGAGTGAAGTGCGGGGAGAGGAAGGAAAGTGATATATTTTTAGTATTTACTTTCTTGCAGACACTGTGCTGGCTATTCACCACCCTATGAGATAGGCATATCCTTCTTCGTGTTAAGAACTTCAGATTTCACTTAATTTGAGTGTCAAAGATGCCATTTGGGTAGAATCTAGATGCTGTAACAGAGACTTAGAAAGTAGAGGGGTTCCACTATGTTAGAAGTTTGTTTCTTTCTTGTATAACTCTCCAGATGTGGGCAGCCTGGGATTGTAGGGTTGCTCTGCTCTCCTCAAGCTGGTGCTTCCATTTCTGAAAGTAAGATGGCTGCCCCCTGCTGCCATTGCATTTGCATCCCACACAGCAGAGACAGGGAAAGACAAGGCAACCTTTTCTTAAGGGCATGATTCAGAAGTGCCAGACATCATCTTTGATCATATCGCTAAAGAGCTTAGATGATTTAAATAAAACAGAAGTTCATTCCTCTCACATGTGACAGTCTAAGGGTAAGCAGCTTGAGGGCTTCCACAGTATCAGGGGCCACATTTCTTGTTTTTTCCATTATCCACCAGGGTTTGCAATCTTTTACACAGCTGAGGGCAGCTTGCCACCATGTGTGTCCATGTTCCAGCCAAAAAAACTGAGAGAAAGGAAGAGAAGACAATCCTTTTCCTCTTGAGGCACAACCTGGAAATTGTTCACCTCACTTCTGCTCATATCCCATTGGCCAGAATATGGTCACATGGCCAAAACTAGCTGCAAGGGAAGCTGGTAAATGTGCCTAGCTAAAACTGGGTAATTTTGTTACTAAAGGAAGAAGGAATAAATGGTTTCTGCTAGAAAAAAACTCTTCCATCATAGGAAACTATTGTAGGGATTTGTGCATGTGATACAATTGAACTTATTTGTCAGAAATTTTGTGACTATTGGATAGAAAGTGCACAGCAGAGGGTAGACACAAGCATGGAACCAGGAAGAGTAATTGAGGAATAAAGTGGCCTGGTCTAGGGTGTAGCAGCTGAGATGTAAGTGGTCTGATTCAAGATATATTTGGAAATGTACTATATTTTGAAATGCCCTCAGCACACACACACAAGAATAATAATAACACAAATTTATAAATGAAAAAATAAAGCTCAGCAGGATTTTCTGTAGGGTGGATATGGAGTGTGACAAAGAAAGAGGGGTTGAGGATATTTGGATAAAGACTTCAAGTCACTCAGGTTCAGCTCAATGAAGTTTCCTTAATCCACAGGTCCATGGCAGTCATGCTATCATATCATCCTGATTTTTCTTCCTAAAACATATCTCTATCTGAAATTATCTTGCTTAGTTTTTCTCTTGGCTTATTTTCTCTTGCCACTAAAAGATATGCTCCATGGAGTAGAAATGCTTTCTATCTTGTTCATTATTCTAGTGTTGGTACCTAGAACAATGCCTGGCACACAGTAATATTAAGAACCAGCACTTGAAAGCCAACATTTACTTAACACTTCTTGAAGGGATGAATCAGTTAGATAACGGTTGATGTTTCTGAAGATGGTAATTGAATAAAAAGAAAAATTAAATAATATAATAAGGAAATAGAATGACAGCAGCCAGAAATCTACACATTGAAGAGGCTACCATGTTCTTTAAAAATGATTAAATATTGACCAATGCTGTCACATTTATGATGTTGTTTATCTAGAGTTTACAATCCACAGGTACCCTAATAGAAAAGTTGGTTATTTTAAAATAATAAATGATCAGGCTGCTCTCAAATATCTCAACTCTCCCTTTAGCCCAGTAGATTTTTTTTTAAGCAATCCCTAGAGATTTAAAGGGAAAAGAGTATGACTCAAGAATTCTAAAAGCAGTCAAATTGTCATCCAAGCATGAAAGAACTGTGGAAACATATCATCTGGACATTTTCTCTGGAATGGAAAGATATCATTAGGGGCCCTAAGCATGATTATGGTGTTGAGGCATATAAGCATTATTGGTGAGCATTAAAATATATTTAACCTAAAATAAAGTCCGAATATTTTTAATAATTATCATTGTAAAACATAATGTGAATGTTATGTTTCTTGAAAGAAAAGCAACACAATGTAAAATAATAATCTAAGATTAATTTTGCTGCTTTAACAGATACCAAATTAACACAGTTTAAATAAGATGAAGTTTATTTCTCCCTGCACAATGGTCTGATTGTAAACAGTCCACAGCTGCTCTGGAGTTCCATGGTACTAGGCACACAGGTTTCCTCTCTCTTGTTAGTCTCCATCTCCTAAAGGGTAGCTGTCTTCAGCTTTGTTGACTAGGGTTCATGACCATGTTCACTGGGTTCATGTTCTAGGAGCAAGAAAGGTTAAAAGGTGGAGAGGGAGCAGAAATTGAACACATCTCTTTTACTCACATCCAATTAATCATCCTATGACCACACTTAGCAGCAAGGGAAGCTGGAAAATGTAGTCTTCAGCTGGGTGGCACATGTCTACCTAAAATCCTCTATGATTATAGAAGTAGTAGAGAAAAGACATGTGTGGGGAGAGAAACTATCAATCTTTGCAATTCTACTTCAAGGGCTGTTGTGAGAATGAAATGAAATATATCAGGACACATGCTTAATATTTGCACCTAAACATTGAGTGTTCAGGAATATTAGGTATTTTTTTTAATGAAAAGAACCTATTTTTCCTTATAGAAATGATCTATGTTGGTTATAAAATATTCAAACAATATAAAAGAACACAAAAAAGTCAAGGTCACTTGGGACCTCATCATCACAGTCAACCATTGATAACACTATGCCTGTATCTGATAATTTATCAGATGTTTATTTGCATCCCAGTATGTGGTAAGACAAAGGGGCAAAAATGAGCCTTCCAAATCTAGTCCATTTCCTTTTGAATTTATCTCACTGATACAAAATTATGAAAAAAAGTAATTCTTATAAATATTTCGGCACTTAAAATGTATTCTCTATTTATAGAAGAAATAGCTGGTATATATGTATTATTTCAACTATATTAGTTCTGTTATATATTTTTGCTATGTTAATTGGTACAAAAAATTATGATGGTTATATCTTCTTTGGGGACTGGACCATTCATTAACGATAACACCTCCCCTTGATTTTGAATGTCTGATCTTAGCATCACAACCCTTCCTTCCTTTCTTCTTCCACTTGTCTGGACACTTAGGTTGATACATGAGTTTGTCCCCAAGCAGGTTCAGAACCTGAATAGGTTAATCTTTTTAAGGGCTCAGTTTCCTTCTCCCGTTCCCTTACAACAACTAGGTACAGTTCATAGCCACCTGCTTTGTACTTACTAATCTTAGGTTTTATAAGAACCTGAGATATTTCTAACACTACATATCCCATTTGGATACATTTCCCCCACATTCAAAAAGATTGAGCCAAATTGTAACAGCAACTCAAATCTAGAGAGTTTGAGTTTTCATTAGATTTCAAGCGAAGCCATCAATTCACAGCTAATGTGTAGTTCAAAGGCATTGTAAGGGTTTCCTTTGATGCCTTTGAAAATGTCACATATACCTTAACATTTTGTGCTTCATCTATAGAGAAGCAGCCACTTCAGAGTTGGCATCTCTATTTACAAAGAGGCAAATATGAGCCTTCCAAATTTAGTCAAATTCTTTTTGAATTTATCTCATTAATGTAAAACTATGAAAAAAAAAAAAAGAGTAAATCCTGGCTTGTTTGCACCTATTTTTTTCCTAAGAAAATAATAAAAATGATGCCTACAACTATTTGGGGGTGCCCATTACGTGCCAAGCATTTCACATGCATCATATTTACTCTGATCCTCACAGTCACCTGCCATGTGAGTGTGATTACCACCACTGCTCAGATAAGAGTCCTTAAGGGAAAGTCACAAGGAGAGCTGCACACGTAGACTGACAGTGGCAAGAGGGAGCTGGGGGCCAAGCCTGTTCTGTTTAACTGCAAAACCTTGGTTTGTTCCACTGCTCTAAGAACTGGACTTCTGAAGGAAATGGGCAATTCTTTGTTTTTCTGTGTTTTGAGTAATGTTTCCTCTTTTTCTCTTCCTGAATGCTCTTAACTAGAGTCTAAATTTCATATGCAGCTACAGAAATGCAAGTCTGAAGGAATGGAAGGATAAAACCTGTTTAATTCACAGTTCAGCAAACAAATACAATTTGCTTAAATAAACCCACCAGGAGGGTTGGTGGAATCAAGTCTCTTATTATTTAGGGCTGTAATTTCAGAATGTACCTCGGTGATTTAACAAAGAACACCGATATCAAATATTACTCTCTATTTATTGCAAATACCATAGAAAGTTTTTGTTGCTGTTTGCAATACATAATCTCTGTAGCAAAACATTATATCTAGTTTCAGAAATGCTAACTGCATTTGGATGGCAAAACAGGTAAAATTTTCTGGAGTACTTAATTGTGTTTCTTACAACCAACTAAAACACTTAATATGTAACTTTGGGAAATAAAGAGTTGTTCCTTTTAAATGTAGGTATATTTTCAATAATGTGCAATACAAGATGTTTTGGTATAACTGACTAAAAGGCCTGGGAATGACTTAATGGGAAATGAGGAAATGGTTAGACCAAACCTATACCATTATATCTGTTGGAATTTCCTACAGATTCAGGCCCCTCTTCAGACTTACTGATTCAAAATTTTGAGAGGTAGAGCTACAGACATGTGCTTTTAGAAATTTCATGGGTAATTTTGATGTGCTTCCCTGGTTACAAACCCCTGGTCTGGAGCCAGGTGTGTATCTTTAGTACACTCAGTAGCAACAATGAAACATTTTCTTTCCAATGCTGGCTGCCACTACAAACAGTTATTCTTCCCTGTCTCTTTTTTCACTGGAAGAAAAAGAAATTTATGCAGTGAGGTAAAGATGGGCAGATGTTCTCAACAATGGATGAGATATGGATCATCTCATTCTCAGAGAAATGTACCTTACTTGTCTGCCATGAATACCTGATGCAGATGGAGTTTAATAGACACTTGAATGCTAGGAAAGGGTTTTGGGAATGATAAATGCAGGGACTTTTTGTGTGTGTGGAGGTACAGAGTCTTGCTCTGTCACTCAGTCTGGAGTGCAGTGGCACGGTCTTGGATCACTGCAACCTTCCCCTCCCAGGTTCCAGCAATTCTTGTGGCTCAGCCTCCCAAGTAGCTGGGATTATAGGCATGTGCCATCATGCCTGGCTAATTTTTGAATTTTTAGTAGAGATGGGGTTTCACCATGTTGGCCAGGCTGGTCTTGAACTCCTGACCTCAGGTGATCTGCCCACCTCAGCCTCCCAAACTGCTGAGATTACAGATGTGAGCCACTGCTCCTGGCCTCAGTTTTTACTAACAAAGACCAACAAATAAACCAAAATACTTTTTTTTCCCATTCAATCATATGGTGAATAGATGGACACAACATTGGGAATCATGGAGTCCAGCTGCTTTATTTTACATTAAGGGAAACTGAGCCCAACTTTGGGAAGTGACTTCTGTGTCACACAGCTTTTTCCTACAGTACAAACCATTCAATTCAATGGCCAACTTCAGAATGCAAACCAAGCTTTCTATTCCTTTTTGGAAACTTGCCTCATTGAAATTAGAAAGAACACAGAAACAGCTGTTCAACCATGCCCAGAAATGAGATTCCATTCTTCAATAAAGCACCAAAACTTTGGCTAAGGAGTGTTAACAGAGAAAAAAGATCAGCCTGTAACAGATTCTTCAGCAAAGTTGCCCGTCCTCACAGAGGCTCACAAGAAGTGAAATAACCAGAGTTATTTTTCTATTAGCTTTCCTGTTATCAATGTGAATTGTCCTTCCAGAACAGATATTTGAGAGTAGGCTTAGCTGAATCTTCATTACATGCTGTTTTTCTGGATCTATTCTCAGAGAGGAGCTTTCCTATTCTCAATCTCTCTTCCTTCTCTAGCCCCTAAACAAAAACCTGGAGAAGAGCATTTGTATCAGGGTAAAGTTCTGGTATCAAATAATCCATATCCTATCATTAATGCCTTGTTGGATGTTATGGACTGAATTGTGTCCCCTCCCCTGTTCCATTCATATGTTGAAGTCCTGGCTCCCAGTACTCAGAATGTGGCTATATTTGGAAATAAGGTCATTGAAGAGATAATTTTGTTAAAATGAGGTCATTGGGGCAGGCCGTAATCCAATATGACTTGTATCCTTACAAGAAGAGGAAATCAGGACAAAGACACATGAAGAGGGAAGACCATGTGAAAAAACAGGAAGAAGACGGCCGTCTACAAGGCCAGGAGAGACTCCGAAGAAACCTACCCTGCTGACATGTTGATCTTGGACCTCTAGCCTCCAGAACTGTAAGACTATAAAGCTCTTTTTAAGCTACCCAGTCAGTGGTACTTTGTTATGTCAGCTCTAGCAAACTAATACATTGGATGTTTCATTCATTTGATATGGATGTGAAATTTAATTCCACTCTTTAACAACTGCATGCTCAAAATGGAGTGTCCATGTCATCATTTCGACCCTTTAGTTAAAATGAAAATGAAAATCTGGGCTAGGCATAGTGGTGCATGCCTGTAATCCCAGTACTTTGGGAGGCCAAGGTGGGCAAATTGCTTGAGCTTGAGCAACATGGCAAAACTTTGTCTCTACAAACTTAGCCAGGCATGGTGGTACATGCCTATAGTTCCAGCTACTTGGGAGGCTGAGGTGGGAGGATTGTTTTAGCCTGGGAGGTCAAGGCTACAGTGAGCTAAGATCATGTCATTTCACTCTATTCTGGGTGACAGAGTAACACCCTGTCTAAAAAAATAAAATGAAGGCCAGGAATCAGGATGTCTGTGTTGGCAAATACCCGAAAACCCAATTCTAAAATAACAAATGAGATGCTCAAACCGCTCAAAGGTCAAGAGGTAGTACAGGCTTCAAGTACAGTTTGAGCAGGGTGTGGCCTCCTCTACTTCTCCCTATTTATCAGGTGTGTGGTTGGGTTGGTTCCTCTCAATGTGGAAAGATGGCATCAGTAGGTATACATGCTTCTCTATTTCTATCCAAGAAGAAAGGATGGCATCAAGTAACTATAAGAAGTCCAGGCTTTCCTCTCATTGAGCCAGTCATTGTAACCCTAATAATAATAACAACTAATATTTAATGTACTCTTAATATGTGCCAGGCACTCTTCCAAGTGCATCTTCTACACGATTCTGCAATATGAAATAAGATAGATGAACCTTGCATATGTTATGCTAAGTGAAATAAGCTAGTCACAGAAAGACAAACACTGCATGATTCCATTTAGCTGAGGAATTTAAAATAGTCAAATTCAAAGACTCAGAATGGAATGGTGGTTTCTAGGGGCTGGAGCGAGGAGGAAAAGGGGAATTAACAATCATTGGGCATAAAGTTTCAGTCAAACAAGATAAATAAGTTCTGGATATCTGTACAACATTGCACCTACGATCCACAATAATTTGTTTTACAGCTAAAAAAATTTGAGGAGGGTAGATCTCATGTTAAATGTTATTACAATAAAATTTTCAAAGCAAATAATAAACATAAAGCCTAAACAAAGCAAAACAAACAGCAATCTTTTATTTGTTAATTTAGTCAAGTCCAACACCCATGAACTGAGAGAGGAGGCAAGCCCCCCCCACCAGCTAAAATAATAAGATTGATATGCAAGGTGAAGGACAGAAGTTAGGAAAGCGGCCAGAGTATGAGCTGCAGCCGTGTGTTTGACAAGTTATAACTCTGTCCCATGCTTCAGATTTCCTTAATGATCTAGCTTAGTACAGGCAAAAAACAAGATACATTCTTCACAGTACTGTTTTCTCCTTGCAGGTACAGATGCCAACAGAAATCGATTGAGGAAGCATGCAGCGTTCCAGAAATTCACCAACACCTGATCAGCTTTTTGCGTGCAAGTTAAAGTGACCTCTTGGGTCAAACCCTAGTTCCCTTTGATTCTGACATTTGCAGAGGGGTGCGAAAACCTCTTTGCTTGTTCTGGGTTGTGTGAGCTGCTTTCTCTTTTACCCTTGATGTACGGTAAGAAAGGAGCAATCAGAGACAGACATTTGGTGAGGCTTTAGTTTGTTCCACTTTCACTCTTGTCCCCAACTCCCGCCTCGTCTATGCTGGGTGTTCACTGTACAAATTAAATGTTCAGATCTGATACTTTCCAATTTGTAAACCTGAATTCAATCAGACTTTTATCATGGGTCATACAAAGCAGAAATGCATGTGTATCATGATTTCTGGAGTTCTAGTGAATCAAGTGTTAATTTCACAAGGCTTCATTGATTTGAAATAAATAATGGGCAATTTTCCTTCTGAAGGCTAAATATTGGTATAAATTAGTTCAACTTTTTTTTGAAAATAATTTGACAATACTTTATTGAAAGTTACAAAATGTTTGTATCTTTTATATAACAATCCCAACCCCTAGGGGTTATTAAAAGTGGAGGGAGGAAGCTTCATGCACAACAATGTTCATTCAAGACTGTCTTAGAATAACATAAATGTAAACCAAATAACACATATTCCAACCATATGCATAGCTAAGACATGTATAGTAGAAACTTCTTGGGGGAAATATTATGTAACTATTAGTAGTTCCCTTTGTTTGGAACACTTTCCACCCCTTCTGCCTTATGCCTCTGTCAGCTAACTCCCACTTAGTCTTCAAGACTCAGAGTACCCACCACTGAGCTTATATAACACCTGGGCACACCTCTATTAAAACATGTGAAGCCCACTGCATTGTAACCCATTATTTTTGCCTGTTAGTGTCTCCCACTGGATTGCAATTCACTGAGGCAGAGTCTGTCATTTGTGCAACAAGTTAAAAATCAGAAAGCAATGGTGCAAGAAATAAAATTATTTCTGATATATAGAATTTAGCTTCAGCTAATTCAGACCTGCCTTCGTTCCCTGCTCCTCAACCCTCTCCAGTAGCCAGCAGCAACAGCAGCAGCAGCATTGCCCCTGAAGTCTCTTGTGGAAGGTGGCAAATCTGCCGATAAGCTTTCTAGTAGGAGTGTCTTTGGGGAGGGAGTGAGTGGGAGACTAGAACTGGGGCCAGGGGAATATTCCTGCAAAACTCCAGGAACCATCAGCATTCCACTTCTTGCAAAGTTTGTTTCCATGTCTGAGTTGTTCTACATAGTGCACAAATTGGGACTGCAAACGTGCAAACGATCGGTGTGAATTCATGTACACTGAAAGGTGATGCCCGTTTCCTTCTTGCAGGCAGATCTGCCTTAGAAAGCTTGAAAGTGGACGCAGCTCTGCGCCAGCTATCAGCGATTTGAGCTCGCTTTCCGACCCCATTCATTTTCCAGCCCGGCTCCCAGATACTTCGAGCGGCGCTCCCTTTTGCCCGCCCGACTTCTGAGCGGAGCGCTTGGGTGGGAGGAGAACCGGCAAATCCTCGCGGGCGCTGGGCGCTCGCGGAGCCGCCCGCGCCCGGCCCCGTCACGTTGGCTGCCGAGCGCTTCCCGGCTGCTCCCTGGCGGGGAGGCGCCGAGGGTAGCTAAGGGGAGCAGGTCACGTGAGAGGAGGAGTCTGACCTACTTTCCAGGCGGCAGGCGCATGCGCACTTCCCATCTGCGCGCTGCCCGGGAGGCTCACGTGGAATCGCACGTGCCTGGTCCTCCAGCTAGGGGATCCGGGCCGGGCGCTCGCAGGGGTGGGTCCGCGGTGGGACGGGAGGCGGGGCGCGGCGGGGCGGAGCACTGGGAGACTCAGTCTGCGGGTCCCGCAATTATCCGTGACAACCGCAGCCTCTGGAGAGCTGTTTAGGCGCCCCGCGGGGCTTCCCAGGAATTCATCAAATTCAACATTAGTGAATTCGAAAATTAAGACAAAGTGACTGTACTTCTGCCCTGTAAATCACCAACTCCGCAACTCATAATTTATCCTGCAGATAGGCTTCCGGTTTTGTGAAATGAAGTCCCTGCAAGGATAATCATTACATCATTATTGGACATCCCAAGCGGCCAGAAACTGTCTAAATGTCCAACAATAAAACCGGTTAAATTCGTAGAAACATAAATTGTGATTGGGCCATACTTGACGTTCTCTGCAGCTCTTAAATAGACTGCTCTCTAGACACTGATATGAAAAGACCTTCAAGATACATTATGTGATTTTAAAAAATGCAGAACAGTGTATAGGATGCTGACATTTGTGAGAAAAAAATTATATATATATGTTATGAACAGACTAATTCTGGAAAAATATATTGGATAACTGGGGGTGGGGGTCAGGGAAGACGCAAGACTCCACAGTTATGTAACTTTTAAATTTTGTACCATGGATGATTAATCTTTTTTTCTTTTTCAAATAACATTTAAAAACAGAGTTATTTAGCACTTACTCTGTGCTGGGCACCAGCTTTTATGTAAATCATTTCCTTCTAGAAAGTTTGTCATGTACAGTATCTGCCACATTTCCTGTTCTGTTCAGCTTGAATCTTAATGTCTTAAGCTTTCTGATAAACTGTTAAGACATTTTTTTAAATCCCCATATGAACAACCCAATTCCTCCACATTAAGATTCTTTTCAAGTTTTGTCTCTTGAGGGAAGGTATCTTAACCAAGAGGCTCTCAGCAACAAATATTTGCATAATAAAGTGGGCACAGCAGTTTTACATCTGTGATTAGCTTTTACTTTCCCAATTACTCTGTGAGTTTGTAGTGCACATATTATTATCGTTGTGGTTATTACATATGTGTTAGTTATATTTGGTTGCAAATAACTAAATTGTTTGCAAGTAACTAAAAGACCAACTCTAAGTGGCTTGGACGGTAAAGTTCATTTAACTTTAGGTTGGATGTTGGAATTTAGGGATACATTGATTTGCCTGCTAAACAATGCCACCAGGACCTTGTTTTTTTCTAATCTTCTGCCAAGGTTGCCATAGTGTCAGCTTCATCTAAAGCTTTGGGAGGCTGGGCGCGGTTGCTCACGCCTGTAACCCTAGTACTAGGGAGGCCGAGGTGGGTGGACTGCCTGAGATCAGCAGTTCAAGACCAGTCTTGGCAACATGGCAAAACCCCGTCTCTACTAAAAAATACAAAAATTAGCTGGTGTGGTCGTTCATGCCTGTAGTCCCACCTATTTGGGATGCTGAGGCACCAGAATCTCTTGAGCCTGGGAGGTGGAGGTTGCAGTGAGCTGAGATCCCCACACTGCACTCCAGCCTGGGCGATAGAGTGAGACCCTGTCTCAAAAAAAAAAGCAAAGCTATGGGAAAGTCTCACTTAGTAAAAATGCTTCTTCCGAGAAGCAGCAAGCAAACATCCTCCCTATACTCCTTGGCCTCAAGTTGGGGCAAGTGACCCCCTTGAACCAATAACAGTAGCAGGAGAAGGAATTATGCCGATTCATTTGCATTAATCTGTTAGTCCATGTGCTTTGAGGGGAGCTAAAGAAAACAGACAAATAGCCTATGGATGGTGCGAAGCGATCACCACAAAACCTCTTAATCATTACCATCACTCCTAGTGCTATTATTCCCCTCTTTCTGGTGTGGCAAATAATGAAGTGATAGCTCTTGACTTCCTGAAGCTTATGCGGGCAGTATACTTGCATTTTCCCTCTACTGTATACCTTCCCAGTGATGGAGTAAGAGCATGAACACATCAGAAAAGTCTGTCTCCAGTCTAGCAAAACAAATTGAGTTATAATGAGAAATCAGTGATGCCATTATGGCAGAATTATATATAAGGAAGTGTGCAAACACCACATTTATGTTCTATCTCTTTATCCACCCATTCAGTAGGTATCAACCTTCTGTTATCTGTGGAAGCATAAAGGCTCATACAGAAAATACAGCAGACATTCATGACCAAGTTCCTGAACTCAGAGGGAAACAGTCAAGTCAGGCAAGCAAGATGAATACTGGGGAAATGTTGAAATAATGATATGAGACAGCATGCAATTAAGTGCCTAAGTGGATGATAATGCAGTGTGGCAGATGTTGAGAGCAGAGGCAGGGACTGGTTGAAACAAAGATAGCAAATAGGAGTGGGCCTTGAAGGATTGCTCAGATGAGATACAATAAGCACGGGAGAAGGGATGTGTAGATAGTTGGACAATATGAGCAAAAGAGTACAGGTGGCGGCTGGGCACAGTGGCTCACGCCTGTAATCCCAGCACTTTGGGAGACTGAGGCAGGTGGATCATGAGGTCAGGAGTTCGAGACAAGCCTGGTTCACATGGTGAAACCCCGTCTCTACTAAAAATACAAAAATTAACTGGGTGCAGTGGCGTGCGCCTGTAATCCCAGCTCCTCAGGAGGCTGAGGCAAAAGAATTGCTTGAACCCAGGAGGTGGAGGTTGCAGTGAGCCAAGATCTCTCCACTGCACTCCAACTTGGGCAACAAAGCAAGACTCCATCTTGGGGGGGAAAAAAAAAGAATACAGGTGGAAATGAATCTGGTGTTCTCAAGATTAGAAGAAAGACCTACTGGCATGGGGGGTTTGTGTTGGAGGAATCAGAAGTGATGCTGAAAATGTAAGAAACCAGGTTCCTCAGGCCCCACCACCTGGTGGATATAGATGCGTTATAGTGAAATTGCCCTGGCTTCTGTTCCCACCTGCTCATTGTTTCCAAGTCTCAACCAGTTATACCAGAGAGTACCCGAGGGTCTTTCACAAGTGTTCACAGATGAGTCAGTCAATCACTGTCACCCCACAGCATCTGCCTGCTGTGCTCTTACTCTCCTGTTCTGCTCCCCCTAACTTCACCCTTTCATAGAAAAACAAGATGGAAGATGTCTCCCCACCACTCTGCTAGTTATATGAGAGGCAGGGGAAGAGTCAAGAATGATTCCAAGCATATCCACATTTGCTGCCTGGTGTGTCAAAACGGGACACATTACACACAGAGCATGCTATAATTAGCATGGTCATGCCAGAAGGGGAAGGAATCTCATCGAACACATTGGGTTTTAAAATATTTAAATATTTAATAACTTGTCAATTCAAGATTGAGGCCTTCTCTCAAGGGAGGCATGAGGCCAGTGCAGCTACCAGGGTACAAAATTTAAGCGGGTGCTCACTCTTGGGGTGGTGCTAGAGTGAACTTACAGGAATAATGTGCCATAGTATTTGTCTTGTGGTCTGGACAGGCCAAAACTAGAAACTTTAAAGTGTCCATCTGAAACTGTAAGGTCCCCAGCTTATCGGTCTTAACAGTAGGCAGAGATATTCATACCCATATATTTATTTGTCTGTGATGCTTTTTTTTCTTGTGAAAGTCTTTCTTCTTTATCCTTCTTACTACAGTTCAAATCATAAACTTTGAGTTTTTCACTAGTTGTGTG